CACTAGCATGTAGACACCACTCACTTTATTGTGTGTGACTCTGCTTTATTTCCAGACTGAAAGATAGGGCTACCCAATTTGGGACTGGATCAAGTGGTGGTCACAAGGATTGCTATTCTACCCATCATGAACCAAAGTACACTGGGCTGCATGTGGTAGATCTACAACGCACAGAAAATCTTCCACACATTCTTAACATTTAGGCTTCATCCTTTATTAGGTAGTGAATAAGAGACATAGAAATGATTGTTTGTTGCTTACAACAGAAGTTTAGGAGAACCTTGAGTGTGACAAATGTCGTATACAGCACTGTGGGGACCCCCCTCCCCGCAAAAAGAAGTTCACGGAACTTAAAAGAGAGTGGACCAGCTGATGAGAAGAGTAGGAATGACTGTTTATTTCTAGCAAAACTTTGATTATCTGTGCCATTTGTACTGTGCCTCCATACATGCCACAGGCCATAATGGTTTAAGAATGAATGTAGTCATTTGGTTGCCATTTTGACAAAGTGTCATGTCCCTAGGTTCTAGCAGGCCACACACAAGGTTCTCGTGTTATGCCTTCATTTTTCATATTATTGTACATGTTGTTTTGCATTGTACATATTATTCTGTATGTGAAATATTCTGTATGTCCAGAACTGCCTCATCTTGGAGCACCTCCAATTTTCTGTTGTAGGAGCGAACCACTTTGGCAGGTCTGCAGCAAAATTTTGCTCTCTAGGAATATCTCCCAAGCTGCACTTCTCCACAAATGTGAATTTTTCACTTTTGGTTTGAAAGTGACCAGAAGTTCAAATCCAGTTTGTGGAGAGGGGAAAACCCAGAGCCAACCCCTATACACACTAAAGGAAATATCTGTTCCTTGTTCTAGAGAAGAATCACTGGTCTTGGAGGCTTCCAGGAGTAGCAATTCTACTTTTTAATCCCAAAATTAGGAGGGAAGAGCTATGGGGCTACCATAAACAAACAAATAAATAAATCATCTTAGAGGCCACATGTGGACTATGTGATTTCTTTTCTTGCTTTATGGCTTTATTCTTGGTAGTCTTCTTTTGTGGCCACACAAACAAAGGGTCTAGGGGCCCATTAATAAAATCGTAAAACATGGCTTGACAAGCTATTGAGAAGTGTGAGGTGCCAGTCCTGGAGGCCTTATTGGAACTAAGTTGTGAGAAGCTGAGGCAGGTTGCTGGAACACATTTTACCCTTGTTACAGAGATGTCATCAAAACCGGTCTCCAATCCATGTAGAAAATCATCCAAGATCGGACATAGCATATTCTTCCCATGTAGTTTTGTTAGTTCACTTCATGTTCCCATTGCCTTCTAGGAATGATGTGGAAATTCTTGAGTTACCCCTACACAAAACAGTCAAGGCAGAGATGAGTCCCCACAGAAAAGCCATGGCCAGTAGTAATCCAGGAATGCACAGTGTCATCAAGCTCTAAAACCTTTGTTTTGGAATATAGTTTTTTGTTTTCTTAATATGCTCAGAATAGGATAATTGTATTCATGTTCATAGGCTCTTTAAAAATTGTGTTGCTAGAAGTGTGTTGCTTATACTGACCACAGTGCTCAAAGCACTCTCTGGGCAGTTTACAATTTTTAATTATGCAGACTACACATTGCCGCCTCCCCCCCCAGCAAGCTGGGGACTTTATTTACTAACCTTGGAAGGATGGAAGGCTGAATGGACCTTGAGCCAGGTACTTGGTATTGAACCTGGTTTGTGAGCAGAGTTTAAGCTGCAGTACTGCAGTTTAACCACTGCATCACAAGGCTCCATGATGTTATGTTGCAAAGTCCCAGTGCTTTAGGAATAAATCTGTTTTTCAGCTTGCAAGGAGCTAATGAATATTTAGCAGCCTAATATGTGAATGCTGAAATTTAAACGTTAAGCTCATAGTATGAAATATCTTGACCAATTTGCGTAATGAAAGATCATGAAAAGTCTTTGATTGACATCCTACATCTGGTTGAAGATTAAAATAGACACCAAAAGGTGTTTTAACTTAAAAGCACAAACATTTGCAAGTAAAATTGGCAAAATATTTCTAAACACTTCACAGGGGGTCTAGATTTTCAAATTAACATACAGAAGAGTAACACAGGTCTTTGGATTTCAGAGGCTCACACTTGGTCAGATCCGGAGTTCTGTTACCAGAGTTCTGCTCCATGATTTCACTCAATTTAATTTTCAACAGCCCCATGTGCTATAAGAAAACTGCCTGGGAGTGATGGGGTACCCTGTATAACAGTGTGGTAGACCATGTGTGGGGTTTTGCAGTGGCATGGATTCCTTTATGAAAATCACCTCCCTTCCCCACTTATTTTCCAGTGAGCCTCTCCAGGATCCAAACCATTTCTGGACATAAAAAAGTCCTCTTCTACAAGTGGGAGGACTCTTCATGGACTCTTCTGTTCATGGAATGGCACCTTTGGGTATAGGCTGTTTGTTATTCTTGGTACTTTATAATTGCCCCTTCCTGCATATATTTTCTCATAGTATATATCTGTATCTGTATTTATAGATATGGATGGATGTGTATGTACATACAAGTTTCATACATACACATTCTTAAAAACAAAAATAAAATATCAGTTAATAACTCTTGACAAATATTCTATAAATAAGATAAGCCCCAATTTCTGACCTTAAAAAGAAGCATGTGAATATATAGAAAATTTGTGGCCATTTATTTTTCATCACTTGCATTTTTGTGACTATCCTTTCAGCTCCTGTTTTCCCACTTAACTTGAAATATAATTTATTTCAATTGGAGCTAAAGTCAGCTTTGAGGCATCGTAGCTGTGTATCAGTATGGCTGGATCTGGCTGAGCAGACCATCTTGGCTTATTATTAATATGATTTGCTTTTGGAAAGTGTTGGCAGCAAACATCAGAGATTCAGAACATGTGCAATTTTGTCACCTCTGCTGTTTGTTGCTTGACACTTCGTGATCCTTATCTTTAGGCAGATATCACTCTCTCTGTGTGTACACACACACACACACACACACACACACACACACACGATTATTTCACATACTTTTCACTGTGTAAGTTACTTTTAGTTCTAGTATCTATACAATAAATCTCCAATAGTTCATTTTGCAGGGCCTCACAGTGAATGTTAAGTCCTTCAGAAGTTCTTACGTAAAGGTCAGGTGAAGGGTTCACAAAGACAAAAGTCTATCTGGGCCTCACACACCTGTGTGTCTCTCTCATATGACATTTCTTTACATTTATTAAATAAGATCATATCAGTAGTTATCTGCATTGTTCCTACAGCACACTCTGCAACCAATGTACCTAGTTTGTCCAGTAATGCTTCACAAACCTCACATACTCTTCATTCCCTTTTAGCTTGAGGGAGCAACTAATAGATATTTGACCCACTGTTTGGGCTATGTGTCTCACTGCTTCTTTTGACATTTATTCGGCTGCCTACACAACATTAGCACTAATTCCCAGTACATCCGATCTTTTGGCATGAATATGTGATTATTTTGTTCGCCATCAGGGCTTGTGCTTTTTTTGGGGGGTGTGTGTAACATTTCATTTTATTTTGCCTTTGGTTTGTGTGATTACCCATTATCAGCCCTCATCCAGAAATGGTTGGGCACGTCCGGATGACATCCACAATGATGCGCAGAGTACAGTGTGGTGTGGGCGTGAGCCCTACTTTTGTTTGCCTTCTTGCACTGGTAAGGACTACAACTCCAATGCAATTTGTAAACTGTATTTTTTAAAAATATATTTTTCTCCTAGTATAGCGCTAAAATGATTCAGCAGTTATTGTTTCTATGTCTTCTCAGTCCAGTGCTATTTCACTTGCTAAACATCAACAAAATTTGGGATTTGAATGCCTGCAAAAGGAGTGGGAAAGAAGGCAGTGATAATGACAGAGAAGGATGAAAGAGACAGTGGGCTGTGTGAGGTGCAGACTCTTGAAATGCACATTCTCATGATAATTAAACATTTCTATTTGAATTGCATCAGTAATTTAAATGCTGGAGTGTGGTGCAAATAAGTTCCCATCAGCCCAGGACAAATATTTGTGTGGATACACCCTCTATAAACAACAATGGGGGCTTACCCAGCTCCAACAGATATATTTACTAGTCTAACTGCTGAAATAAACAGGAGTTTCTGTATTACTTAAGGGAGAATTTATGACCTCTATGGTGTTTTACAAGTTTCCTTTTCCCTCAGAAATTAGGAACCCTTAAAATACATTTCTTAGTGCCTTACCCAGATGTAGTTCCCAGACTCTCGATGAGGGAGGCATTATATGAAAGTGGCATAAAAACTAGTGGCTGTTGGCAAGGTAGAAATTGACTACCACCACTAACAGGTGATATGGGAAGACCCAGCATCCTAACTTTTGCCCACTGCACCATTAGTGTTATTGGAGTGGGGTGTGTGCTGAATTGGCACTGTTTAGATTCTCTGCCCAGCGCTGCATAACAACGCTATGGACTAGTCACCAGATGTTCACAATGTTGACACATCTGCAGTATTCTTTTTTTGGGCAGAAGGGGTATAGATCCCTGAGCTCCTCAACTATAATGGCCAGTGGTGGCAGCTGTACTTCAAAATATAAACTTTCTCAAGATCTGCCTACAACTGCAATAATTGTTATTAAAAGCAATGTAATTTTTCAATGTTGAAAGGGACTTACTCTGTTATTACTATTAATCAGTATCAACTGAAATCCAGCCAAGTCTGCGAAGATATACATGTACTGTTGAACTTTTTCTCCCCCCCCCCAAAAAAAAACCCCAGTAAATCTCCAGCTTCTTTAAGTGATAGTATATGGTCAGTGGTTTAGGTATTTGGCTGTGAAGCCAGAGATTAGGACTTTGATTGCCCACTGTGCCTTGAGGGAGAAGAGCCAGCCTCTGTGGCTTTGGATAAGCTGCACAGTCCCAGGACACGCCTAGAAGGGAATGGTAAACCACCTCTGAGTATTCTCTACTCAGAAACCACAAAAAAAGGTGACTATAAGTTAGAATTGACTTGATGGCACATAAATAATAACATGGTATTCTGATAGAAAATGTTGGGAAAATTTAAAAGCAGATTGTGATGAGGCAAGTGGGGCAGGGTAGAAGAGCTATTGTTATGAAAGAACTGAAGAAGAAAGTAAAGGTTAATTTTCTGGACTACAGTTTGCCGGGGAATTATGGGAACTGCAGTTTTTTTAAAAAAAATAACGTTTCCACATTCTGTCTCAGAAACCTTACTCGAGATGCTTCTGATGTTGCTCTTAAACTGCTTGCACTGAAATTATTTTCTCTTTCAAATGATGCTAACTGGAAAATGTGAATGCAGGAAAGAGATGATTGTCCTATGCATATTTACTCAGAAGTACATCCTAGTACATACTGTGGGGTTTACTCCAGTGTAAAGATGCATAGGGTGGCTGCTTATGATTGTGGGAAGGACTTGTGATCATTGTGGAGGTTTATCAACAAGGATGATGGATTCATGTCTCCTCAGTTTATGAACCTGGTGACATACTTACAGACACAATACTAGTGCATAACAAGACATCTATTGTACCTACAGCACTTTCACTCGTATAAATACCCAGGAAATGCTGACTTGGCAGGAGCATTGGTAAGAGTACTACTATTCACAGTGTTTCTGTTTTTCCCCTCGCCTTTATTCTACAGAATTAAGTATTTTATGTACAGTGGAACCAGTTAATGCCCTTTAGACAATTCTGTTCGGTTGTTTTGTAAGCAGGAAAGACATTGCAGGGGAGATACGTGCCAAAAAGCACAGTCAAAATGACTTCATACATTGTTTTAATATATATATATATATGTCTGTGTATGTATGATTATGAACCAATGTTGCAGGATTGCTGCTTAAATGGCCAGTACTCAAGAGGAGTTCTCAGCTGGAGAAAATGCTGCCTCTTTCCCCTCATTAGAATTTGTTCAGGTCTCTATCAAAAGTTCCTAGCTCTTCACTTATATATATATTTATATTTATTTATTTAAACTTTAAACTATAAATTAACACTGCATAGTTCATAGTTCTCGTTTTGCTTTTGCTCTGAAAAATTATTGCAGTACAATTAATTCCTTGGCGGAGTTCAGTATGGAGCAAACAGGACGGGTGTGTGGGTGGTCCGTATAGGCCCGGGCGCAGGTCGAAGAAGTGCTGGAGGAAGAGCTGAAGTCTGAAACAGGGTTGCTGGTGGGGCCGTTCGAAGACTGAAAGGGGAATTTACAGCCACAGCAGCAGCTGCCGCAGCCGCTGCCAATGGATTTGGTAGGATTCGTGGAGCCATTGGTTTGGAAGGTTCTTTTGAAAATACTAGCTTTACCTGCAGAAGAAGGAGGAGAAGAAAAAGGAAAAGAAAAAGAACAATACTATTGGTTCCGATTACTCACACTAAAGATAGTTCTTTCTACCTTTCCTATGTACTTAGGCAACTAATTAAAAACATCTGAGTGATATTCCAGGCAGGAAAATGGATCAAAACTTTTAAGGAAAAAGAAAACAGAGCATATAAAGGAGAGTCAAAGAGCTACTTTAAGTTTTCCACATTTTAACAGTAAACTTTAATAGCTACAAAGTTCTTCCCACACTCAAGACAATGGGGCACGTTTCTGCGAGAAAGATCTGCTTGGTTTGCTTGGTTTCTTTTGGGAGGGGTTGCTTTTAACAAACAAATATTTTAGGGTACTACAAATTTTCCACATTAAGTTAAATATCCCCACAGTATCCCTATTATCAGCTCTCGTAACATAAGCTATCTTTTGAATAGTTGGCTATCATTATTTACATTGTTTTCTGTTTATTCATTACGTTGTGGTCAAAGTGGAAGAGCTGGTAAACAACACAGTGGAAAAGTCAATAAATAGTTCTCAGGTTCCCAAGCAGCATTATTACTCTTCCACAAGTAACATTTCCAAGCTCACATTCTGATCACATCTCATTCCAAGCAGCTCAAGATGGAAGATTAATCTCATAGAAAGAAGAGACAAGACTGAGAGATGGTACCATGGCTAAGAGCATCCACTTAGGCTGAAGTCCTATATGAATTTTCATGGGCATAAAGCCTATTGAATTCAGGGGACATTACATCTCAGTAGACACTGTTTAGGAAGTTACCTTCCCAGCTGGCCAGAGACTGCTTTCTAAACAGAGTCTGGGTTTCTTGTGTCTGATTTAACATTGCAAAACCTTCGCAATGTTCTTGGCTTTCTTGGGTGCTCTAACTAGAGATGGGGACGACCCATGAATGACGAATTGCTCCACAGTGACCCGACAAACAATAAATCAATTTGACATTTTCCCCCTTTTCCACCTCTTGCGTTTCCTCAGGGCATAGCAAGAGGAGGGAAAGCAGGTAGCTGGGAGATCTTAGCTGCAGGGCTTCGCAAGAAGGGGGAAAGCAGGAATCAAAGTGATCCTGCAGCATTTTGATCCCGTTCCCCTCCTATTGTTAAGGCCCGTGGGATTGCTTTGATCCCTTTTCAGATATTCTTTGCTTCATATTGGTTGAGGTCTCTGGACCCCAAGAACATGAAGCAATGAATATATGACAAATCAGAGATATTTAATGAATATTCTGATTAGTTTTTATACTCATCCCCATGTCTAGCTCTAACCAAGACATGGTTTTAACCAAGACAAATCTCAACAGAGTTGAAGTGTTTGGCTATTTTGGAAAACTCAGACTCCTAGAATTCCTCAGGTAGCACGGAAATTTGTGGAGTTACAAACCCCCCCCAAAAAGTAACAAACCAAAACTCTGCAAGTCCTTAACTTGTGAGAATTTTGAAGGAGCAAGCAGCTAGAGAAAGGTGGCTTTCTTCTCGATTTGTTCATTCATTTTTTCCTCATTTCTATTCTATATCATTTTTCCCCTGTGAAGGGACTCAAGAGAGTTCACAATGATCAAAACAAGCTGAACTAAAAATATAATACATTACAAAGTTTAAAAACTATTTTCATTATTATTATTATTGTTGGTTAGAACTTTTATCTGTTAGATATTACCAGTCAAAGACTGTGCCTTGTATTTTTGAATCATCATCATATAAGCATTTGAAAACTTTAAGAACACATTTAAAAAGAGCAGATGGATTTGAGAAGCCCCAACAGGCCATGATATGGTTTACATACAGTGGGGTCTTGACTTGAGAACTTAATCCGTATTGGAAGGCGGTTCTCAAGTCAAAAAGTTAGGCCATGATATGGTTTACATATTGGATCATAGTACTTAACACCATGTGTCATTTTACAGAAATGAGGATACTGATTTTGATCTGGGGATCATGGGGCTTGTAGCAAACTCCTTGCTTGTTTTGTCCTCATGAGCAAGAATGAGAAACTGTGGTGCTCTTTACAAGATAAGAGAATGATTTTTGGGTTGTGGATTTAAAATAAGTCACTGAGAACCAGCTGCAAATAAAACTATCATCTGCTACCAAGAGGAGCTTTCCAAACCCTTTCTTGTCAGCCCTGGACTCCCATGGAACCCTCTCAGAGGTTGGAAATTTTACTGGCCTTGCCACTGGTCATGCTGGTTGGGAGACTCTGAGAGGTGTAGTTGAAAATAAGTACGTTTTACTGACTTTGACCACCATAGCAACACCCAAGAATAGAAATTACAAGAATTATTCTTAAACCTAGCTTCTGTGCCATAGGAAACATTGTGGTTGCTAATGCATAACAGAACCATTCTTCTAATATAACAATGTTATAAAAATGGCTTCTCAAGAAAAGAAATCATTTGCTTACGCCAAGTGGGTGCGTTCCCTTCTGGAGTTTGTTGTAGGGGCTGTATTTGGGTTTCGGGGGCTTCCCAGCAGCTCTGTCTTTGTGCCTTCTACTGCTTATGTGCTGTTTGAAAGCAAGTGGTTTTTATTATTATTGTTGCTGCCATTCATTTATCAATAACATGCTTTCAGATATCTTCAGCATAGAACAATTTGGGACATCTTTGAGCTATACCAATGACACACTGATTATTCCCAATAATGCATCTACTTCAGTTTCCTAATCTTATGTGAATGGAAAAAAAGCCACATCTTTTCCCCATCATACACAACCATAAACATTTGTTGGCTTATTTGCAGAGAAAAGTGTATAATACAGTGGTGCCTTGCTAGACGATGATAATCTGTTCCACTGAAATAGATGTTTAGCGAAATCATTGTCTAGCGAAAAGCATTTCCCCATTGGAATGCATTGAAACATGTTTAATGCATTCAAATGGGGAAGAATCATCGTTGTCTAGCGAAGATCGGCTATAGGAAAGCCGCTTTGCGAACTGCCGATCAGCTGTTTAAATCGCTGTCTTGCGAAGCTTAGGTCCTGAAAACACCTGTTTTGTGAGTGCGGAGGAAGCTGTCAAAATCGTCATCTAGCGAAAATCGGTTTGCGAAGCAGGGACCAAACATTGTCCAGCGAAATTCCCCCATAGGAATCACTGTTTTGCAAATTGCTATAGAGATCGCAAAAAGTCAATGTCTAGCGAAAAAACTGTAATACGGGGTAACTGTCTAGTGAGGCACCACTGTACATTCTATTTAAGTTAACCAGGTCTAGTACTGCAACACCCTAAATGCCAGACCAAATGATCAACATCTGTAAGCCATACAAAGACTTTGGAGATAGTCTTGCCTGACTTAGATCTGATTAACATTTCTGAGTGATACCCAGTGTGGTGCAGTGGACAGAATGATGGACTGGGATTCTGGAGAACAGGGTTTGGGCATGGAAACTCACTGAGGGAGTGGAACTGATAAAATATCTCAGTTACCTTGAAAGCTCTATTAGGGTTGCTACAGGTTCCGATAACAATGTCACATAACAACAACATTTGTGGATCATGTTTAGATGGATGGTATTGTAATGATTTCACCCTAAATTCTTATTTTAAAAGCCATTTCATAGCACATACACTCCAAAATGTGTGATAAAAATAAGTCTCAGCATCAAAACAAAAGGTAGAAAGGAAGCTGTCAAAATCGTCATTTATTGATTGATTGATTGATTGATTGATTGATTGATTGATTGATTGATTGATTGATTGATTGATTGATTGATTGATTGATTGATTGATTGATTGATTGATTGGACTTATATACCGCCCCATAGCGCTACAAGCACTCTCCGGGCAGTAGCGAAAATCGGTTTGCGAAGCACTTGTGGAAAGTTCTTCCCATGGATGAAGGTGGGCAGTGGGGGCCCTTCACATATTTCTTCTCTACAGTACCAACCAACCCTAGCTAGCATAGCCAATGGTGCGGGTTTATGCGAGCGGCTGTTCAACTGTATTTGGAAGGTCAACATTGCTCATCCTGCTTTTGGGGCCTAAGTGCTAGCAAGTTATAACATAGCTGTTCTATTGGACAGAAGCTGTCTCTTTCAAAGCAATTGAATTGGAAGGTGGAAGTTTCTCTTAGAGAGATGGAGAGGTTGTTCCTACACTGGAATAGCAACCACTCCAATAGGAGCTTTCAGAATTAGAATTATTTATGATCTATAAATCACCACCTTCTTAATTAAGTATCCGCAGGGAGCTGGGACCTCCCCCTTTCTCTCACTCAGGCATTCAGAGGTGTCTCAGGGCCAGGATCATAAAAACTTAACAAGGCATCAGTATGGTTGTAAATCAATATCCAATTGCGCCCATTACCAGAAGTTCCCTCTGGGATGTTCGTTCTCCCCAATACTGTTTGCTTGAGTTATAGAATTATTAGCGAATAGTATTAGGAATGACATTATTAAAAAAGTATAGGTTTTGATAATAAAACTAAGATTAGTTTATTTGCTGGTGATATTTTATTAACCATAAAGAATCCACTTAATGTAATGGATATGGTTAAAATAGATTTAGAAGAATTTGGTGAGATAACAGGTTTACAGATATATTGGGACAAATCAGAAATGATGCTGTAAATTATAGTAAAAAGGAGAAGGATAAGATTAAAAGTAAATCTGAAATTATAATATGCAGTATGATTAATATTTAGGTTTAAATATTAACAAAAATCTGCAAGTTGTAAAAAAAGGGACGTTTTGATCAATTGAAATATGAAATTAAGGAGAACTGAATGAATTTACAAAGGCTGGATTATCGTGGTTTGGTAGAATAGCAGCAGTTAAAATGAAAGACTTAAGATAAAAATTTGTTTATGTTTTTACTGATTAATTGGAATAGAGTTGAAAGAGTGGCAAAATATGTAAATTACAAAATATGTAAATTCAAAATAATAAATTCTGAAATGTAGATAAAAAAGCAAGGATTAATAAGAAAAGATGGTATAAATCACACAAAAAAAACTGGAGGATTAGGTATTCCTAACATAAAGTTATATTGTGTAGTAAATCAAATGAGGGATATACTAGACATTATATTACAATCTGACAATTTAATATGGCTAAAATCAGAATTTTCTCAAGTTGAGGAATCATTGTTAATTTTTTTAAAAAAAGATAATAAGCATATTATTTAAAAGATAGGAAACCCTTTCCTTAAAAATATGGTACAAATTTGGAATATTAAGCCATTACGTGACGTTACTGACTTAGAAGATTTCTGGAAAATTTGAGAGAAATTTTGGGGAAAATACTGAAAAATAAAAGTTATTAAGTTGAAAGATTGGTTGTAGAAGATGAACAATAGGGAAAAGGTAACAGTAGAATTAGAAGGGGAAATATAACTTTGTTAAGTTTTATTCAATTAGAATAATGGACTAAGGGGTGGTTAAAGAAAATTACAAATGTAGAGATTATAATAAATTTGAAGAGATCATAGTACAGAAGCAAAAACAAGACAGTAAATGAATGAGAGGGATAAAAAGTAAAATTTACAAGATATTAATAGAAGTGGAGTGTCAGTATGATGCTCTTAAAATGTCATGGGAAATAGTTTTAAGAAGGGATATAAGTACTGTAGAACGGAAAAATATATGGGACAAAATAATATTAAATTGCATATTGGTAAGAATAAAGGAAAATATTTATAAATTAGTATGGAAATAGTTTTTAACACTGGTGAAGCTGAACTATAGGGATAATAAATATTCTAACATACTTTGGAGAAATGCCCAGGAAACACTTTCACATTCCCTCCACATTACCATATGTGGTGGGAATGTGAAAATATTATGAATTTTTGGGAAGCGTTTTTTAAAGAAATTAATGAAATGCTGAAGTTAAATGTGACAGTCAACTCTGGTATAGTATTGTTGCCAACATTTGATAGAGAACAATGGGGATCGACTATTAGATAATTAATAACACATTTATTAATTATATGATTAATGATAGCAAGGGACTGGAAAATAAAATATGAATTTCAATTAATAGGAATTAATAAATTTGGAGTATAGCTATTCATGATAAACTATCTTGCAATATTAAGATGAAAAACAGGCTAATAAGGATAATTTTAATGATATTTGGTGACCTTTTATTGAGTATGTATTAATAAAAGGGAAGGATTTTGTACCTTCATAAGATTCAATGAAATTTTGGAAGGGGAGTGGGGCTTTCTAAAAGAGTAAATGATATAATATGTCTCCAATGGTCCTGGGGTGTACTGTTTTTGTAAATGTATGGTTTAAGTGGTTTTTGTCTCTACTGTTTTATTTTTTTACTTTAGTTTGTATTTTTTGGGCTGTGTTGTATTATAGTATATTTTGGGTTTTTTTCATTTTGTTTTACTGATGATATATATATATATATTAAAAAACTCTAACTATTCACCCATGTTTTGAGAAACAGTGATAATAGCATGTTGCTATTGTACTGTAAAATCACTTCCAACTGACAGCAACCTTGACAAGTTTTCAAAGTATATGAGGTGTTCAATAAGTGGTTTGCCATTGGCACCAACCCTAACCCCCCCATTAATATCTATGGCTAATGGGAGATTTGAACCCAGGTCACTTGAGTCCTAGTCCAACACTCTACCCACTAGATCCACACTACCTCTCTGATCATGGCTTAGTTTTGAATAACTGGATTGTATATCTTTTTTATTTTGTTGAATTCTTTCAGACTATCGGAATGATTTTAAAATACTTCTAAACTGCCCTGAGATCCTTACATACAGGATGGGACAGAAATATGATAAAATACAAAGCATTACAAAACTATACAATACAAGATAAATAAATGCATAATTTTGAACACTGTGCTAATGTTTCTAGAATGACCATACAAAAACAAGGCCAGGGGTCTTGCATCTTGAACACTGTTATAAAAAAAGACCATTGTCACATTAGTGGATGTTTTAGTTTTCTTTCCTCTTTTCTGCCTTCAAGACAAACTGTGGCTGCTGAAATTTCCTCTTCTACCTAGGTGTTCAGAGTCTCAACAGCCACATGGCCCTTTGCTACTGATTATTCTAGGTATGGCAATTAATACTGTGGCTGTCCAATGAGGCCTTACATATAGCAGAGAAGGGAAACAAAATGCAAGGGAGATAGAGAAAGTTACAGAAAATTGAATGCAGACTTCCAAAGAACAGCAAGGAGAGACAAGAGGGCCTTCTTAAATGACCAGTGCAAAGAAACAGAGGAAAATAATAGAAAGGGAAAAACCAGAGATCTGTTAAAAAATTTGGAGATATTAAAGGAACATTTGTGCAAAGACTGACATGATAAAGGACAAAAATGGTAGGGTAGCAGAAGCAGGAGACATAAAGAAGAGGTGGCAAGGATACACAGAAGAATTATACCAGAAAGATTTGGACATCCCAGACAACCCAGATAGTATAGTTAGTGACCTTGAGCCAGACATTCTGGAAAGTGAAGTCAAGTGGGCCTTAGAAAGCATGGCTAACAACAAGGCCAGTGGAGGTGATGGCATTCCAGTTGAACTATTTAAAATCTTAGAAGATGATGGTGTTAAGATGCTACACTCAATATGCCAGCAAGTTTGGAAAACTCAGCAGTGGCCAGAGGATTGGAAAAGATCAGTATACATCCCAATCCCAAACAAGGGCAGTGCCAAGGAATGCTCCAATTACCCCACAATTGCACTCATTTCACACGCTAGCAAGGTTATGCTCAAAATCCTCCAA